TGTGTAGTTTTAATCTCTCTAGATTGTCTGAAAGAATACCGTGGGTGGCTTGTATGAAACCTGCAGCTCGGATATGAAACTCTCGCTTTAAAACACACAAAATTAGAAAAGGTTGAAAGCTATGCAACATGACTCGTTCCTGGGCTGAGGGGACTAAGCTACGAGGAAAGGCTGAGGGGACTAAGCTACTAGGAAAGGCTGAGGGGACTAAGCTACGAGGAAAGGCTGAGGGGACTAAGCTACGAGGAAAGGCTGAGGGGACTAAGCTACTAGGAAAGGCTGAGGGGACTAAGCTACGAGGAAAGGCTAAGGGGACTAAGCTACGAGGAAAGGCTGAGGGGACTAAGCTACGAGGAAAGGCTGAGGGGACTAAGCTACGAGGAAAGGCTGAGGGGACTAAGCTACGAGGAAAGGCTGAGGGGACTAAGCTACGAGGAAAGGCTGAGGGGACTAAGCTACGAGGAAAGGCTGAGGGGACTAAGCTACGAGGAAAGGCTGAGGGGACTAAGCTACTAGGAAAGGCTGAGGGGACTAAGCTACGAGGAAAGGCTGAGGGGACTAAGCTACGAGGAAAGGCTGAGGGGACTAAGCTACGAGGAAAGGCTGAGGGGACTAAGCTACGAGGAAAGGCTGAGGGGACTAAGCTACGAGGAAAGGCTGAGGGGACTAAGCTACGAGGAAAGGCTGAGGGGACTAAGCTACGAGGAAAGGCTGAGGGGACTAAGCTACGAGGAAAGGCTGAGGGGACTAAGCTACGAGGAAAGGCTGAGGGGACTAAGCTACGAGGAAAGGCTGCGGGAACTGGACGACGACATCTAACATTCAAATGAGAAATACAAAGAAATAGAGCGTGTGTTCAAAGCAAGGAAGAAGAGAACAACGGCGCATGGAAGCCTCTTAGGCTTGTTGAGATATCTCACTGCGGAAGGGGGTGGTGGAGACCACGATAGCCACCCACATAACACTGTGCTACCCACACAACACTGTGCTAGCCACCCACATAACACTGTGCTAGCCCCCACAACTGTTCTGTGGGGGACCACGATAGCCACCCACATAACACTGTGCTAGCCCCCCACAACTGTTCTGTGGGGGACCACGATAGCCACCCACATAACACTGTGCTAGCCCCCCACAACTGTTCTGTGGGGGACCACGATAACCACCCACATAACACTGTGCTAGCCCCCCACAACTGTTCTGTGGGGCTAGCAGAGGTGTGTCTTATGTGGGTGGTAGTCGTGGTGGCTGCTGTGAGGAGCCTTGTGATTGTTGGTAAAAGTGTAACAGAATATTCATTAATCAATACAATCCTTCTTCCCGCGCGGAACGATTCTGGAAACTTTAACTTCATTTGCAGGTGGGCCCCGCCTTAATGAGGTTACCCGCCGCCCTCTCTTACCTGAGACTCTCTGCCACCCTCCACACACCAATTTGCACCTCGATAATTGATGCAAATGAGGTCCGATTCCTCATCTGGATCCCCACCTTCCCCCCCCCCCCACCTCTTCGTGCCACTCAGCCCCTTATGTGGTGTTTACACCCGAACGTACATACGCTAACGCACACACACAAACCCACATATGTACCCATACGCCAACACCCACCCGCGCACCAACACCCTCCTGCACACAGTCACTCACCTGCACACAAACATCCACTGGCTTACAGACGAACGCCAAAACTGCTTGAATGTCAACACACTCACCCAGTGGCAGGTCGTGGTACTACGATTATATTCCTTACATCGCCAGAGGTGTATGGGAAATCTTATGATGTTTTTAATATGTGTGTTTGTGTGAACTTTTGGCAGGAGGTGCGTGTGTACGAGTGTAAGTGTGGGTGTTCTTGTTCAGTACGAGGAGAGCACCAGCTCTTGCACCTCGTTCCTCGGTATTACTAGTTTGCTGGACCATCTCCCGACTTTGTTTAGCCTGTTTTGGGTTTCTTTGTTTAGGGAGCCGGTCGGCCGAGCGGACAGCACGCTGTACTTGTGATCCTGTGGTCCTGGGTTCGATCCCAGGCGCCGGCGAGAAACATTAGGCAGAGTTTCTTTCACCCTATGCCCCTGTTACCTAGCAGTAAAATAGGTACTTGGGTGTTAGTCAGCTGTCACGGGCTGCTTCCTGGGGGTGGAGGCCTGGTCGAGGACCGGGCCGCGGGGACACTAAAGCCCCGAAATCATCTCAAGATAACCTCAAGATAACCTCAAGATAACCTTCATCTCTGCTTCCCAATCTTTGGCTGGATCGGTCTTCCTCCTCCTCCACTGTCTCCACCGGTTCAGTTGTCTCGCTTCTCACTCACACACTGAAGTCAAACTTCCTTAAATGCCTTTGGCTCGTGTGAACCAAAAGGAAGTTTGGCTCGCTATCTTTCTCGCCTTCGTAAATTCCTCCATAAGTTAATATATATATATATATATATATATATATATATATATATATATATATATATATATATATATATATATATATATATATATATATATATATATCAGCTCTCTTAGCCTGTCTTCGTGGGGTCAGCTGTGTGTCTAGAGCCGCTAAGGGGGTCCCCAACTTTTTTTCTTCATTCCCCCTTTCATCATTCTTCAGGATATAATTCCCTCTCCCCCTCCCCTCCCAAGAAAGTCTAACTCCAACTCAAAAAGGTGTATTCCAAATAATATGCATATGTGTAATATTGAAAAGATTTTATTTGTTGGTATTATTGGGTATGTACATAATATTATATATTTATTTGGAGTATTTTTATAGTACGTTTTACAGATATAATAGCAATAGAAAATGTTGATTAGTATTTTTGAAATTTGAATATTTTTTTTTAATATCCAGCACTAATTACTAGACAGATTAAAGTTAATGAAGTATACTTTAACGAACAAAAACAAAATCAGTTGAATTACAGGGGAATCTAGTTTATTTTATTCGATGAAGATTTCAATCAATCACAAACCTGTGATTGTTTTTGCTTTGCCAGTACTTGGATACGCGGAGGAATGCTTGAAAGGGCACCACGTAGGGCATTTTCAGTCTCCAATCTACTTCGTTGCTTTGTTTTCATTTGCAACAAAGTTGAAATCCTGACTTGCAGAGATATGTCGACACCACGGGATGTTATATACGAATAGCTCTTTCTGCCACTTTTGGGTAGGACTCTCAAATCTTGGGCCAAAATTCTGTGATTGATTTCTCATCGAACATATCTCTTTTTTTCCTCCTGAATCATTTTTCGGCTCCAAAAATTCATCTTGACAATCATCGGGAACCTTTGCATCTGACAATTTAAATGGATTACGAACTAAATCCAACTCTTCATCACTTGAGTTCAGTGAAATAGCGGATGAACTCATTTTTCAATGCTTCCAAATCCAACATTTGTTATCCTTACCTTTCTCTTCCAATTCTCGAACTTGCTCACGAAAGCTTTCAAGGCAACTGGGAATTTTATGATGTTTGTATTCCTTTCTTGCATCTGAAGATTTATTTTATTCAGCAGCTAAAAAATGTCAACTAAATAGGCAAGGCGCATGATCCATTCCTCATCTTCCAGCAAAGCTAAAAATTCCATCTTACCCTGAACTTCATGAAATAAATTGAGCTCATCTCTAGGTTCAAATACTCGCTCAGCATCCATATGAATACATAACTGCTTGAAAAGTCGTGAGTTAAGAGCTCCCCCCTTTCACAATATTCACAATTTGAATTGTTTGATCAAAAACCTTCCATTATGAAACTAGCACTGTTTTCGAGGCCACAGACGATAAATCATACAATGAATGCCTTTCACTTTTGGTGCTCGCTCTTTCACACAAGCTGGAAATCCTGATTTTTTCCCTAACATAACTGGTTCTCTATCTGGTGATGTACCTGGCGTGGGTACATCACCCGCTCACATTATCCCACAAAAGATTTTCTGATTTAACGAAAGATGAAACCTTTAGCAAAATATCTGAAGCCTTGGTAGTTGTTTCAAGAGGAGAACAAAAGAGAAACTCATCTTTAAATGAACCTGAGTGAACATATTTTGCAAACATCAGCAACAGGTTACACGATGCTTCATCTATCGGTTCATTGAGTTTGATTGAAATAAATCAAATGTTGCAGACTTGATCTCCTGTACACCCTGATCCTTGAAGTTAATTGCCATGTCGCTGATCCTCCTTTGACCAGTGTTGCTCGATAGTGAAACTGTTGTAAGTTTTTTCTCCAATTCATTTCGCAACACAATTCCCACCATTTTGAGAGCGCAAGGTTTGATCAAAGTTCCCCAGTTGTATGTGTTTTTTTCCCGCTTTACTGTCTCTAGTGCTACAATATAAGAAGCTTTAGTAATCTTTTAGTTTTTTCTTGGAACTTCCTTGTTAAATCCAGCTTCATTTATTTAGAGTATTCCCATGACGTTCAAAAAAAGCATTTGTCTTTGTTCATGTGTCGTGGATGACCATTGTGCAAATGCGGCTTCAACTTTGTTGGTTTCATAGAATTATTTGAGAAAGCTTTGATACAAATAACGCATATAGGCCTTTCTTCTCCATTGATGATGATGGACGTGAATCCATATTGAATATATGAAGCGTCGTACCACCCCCCCCCCTTCTGGAACTCTAAAATTCTCACCCCTCCCATGGGGAGCTTTCCCCATGGGAGGGAACCCCTGATCAAAAGCCTGGCACCTGGAAAGTCTCTCAATCTTCTCATATTTAATTTTCTGCCTAGTGGAGACAGCGCCTATGAAACAGGTGCCTCATACAAGCTGTGTATTGTCAGCTGAGCGATTTCTTATCTTGATTTCTACACGGAACAATACCGCACTTGCTCAACTATATCCTGTAATATGTATTACTTACATTATTATTTTCAGTAACATGAATCACTCTGTATTATCCCATGTAGCATGTATCACTGTATTATCACCTGTAATATGTATCACTCATGTCAATATCTCCAATTATCTCATTTAATGAATTACCGCCTATGTTCGTGATGCTTTGTCAGCGTCGGAGAGGAGAATGGTGGTGGCGGAGGAGACGGGGGCCGGCCTCCAGCTGCCCCGAGGGTACAGGGCCGTGCTGACCTCGCCCTGGATCACCCCTGACCCAGGTAAGCAAGCTCATTCCCCTCCAGGGTCAGGTGCCAGGCAGGCAGACTGGTCAAAGGTCAAAGGGAGGCACTTTTGTGGATGAAAGAGGTCACTAGTCAGGTGGGTGGAGACTGAGGTAAGAAACTGAGGTAAGGGTTTGAGGTTGTTCCAAGGGGTTCCAGGAAGCCTGGTCGACGACCGGGCCGCGGGGACGCTAAGCCCCGGAAGCACCTCAAGGTAACCTCAAGGTTGTTGGTCGGGAAGTGTGTGTGTCTGAGGTCAGTGTTTAAGAGGGATGGAGCAGATGTCAGACGCCTGCAGTGTTGCCTGAGCATTGTGTGGGGGGGGGGAAAAAAGTTGTGGGATAATAAAATTAGTGTATGCAGAGGCACACACACACAAACTTATACACTTTGGTAATTACAATTAGGTAATTATAATTAGGGAATTACAGTTAGGTAATTACAGTTAGGTAATTACACACAGGCACGTACTCTCACTCAGTCACACACTCACACACACACACACACATGCACGCACGCACGCACACACACACACACACACACACACACACACACACACACACACACACACACACACACACACACACACACACACACACACACATCAAGGGACCGACAAGAACGAGAGGAGGGGATGAACCAGCCTTGCTTGATCTGATATTTACCCTAAATGAGTCGGATATAAGGGAAGTTAAGTTGGAAGCCCCCTTGGGAATGAGTGATCATAGTGTATTGAGCTTTGAGTACCTGGTTGAGCTAGGAATTATCACCCCCCAAAAAGAACTGGGAAACAAAGGGCTGGCGTACCGAAAGGGAAACTACGAGGAGATGAATAAATTCCTATGGGATATACATTGGGACACAGAACTCGGAACCAAGTCTGTACAAGACATGATGGACTATGTCACCCAAAAATGTCAGGAGGCTGTAAGCAGGTTTGTCCCAGCCCAACAGGAAAAAACAGAGAAGCAAAGGAAGAATCCGTGGTTTAATAGGGAATGTATGAAAGCAAAGGAGCTGAACAAAAGGGCATGGAGGAACTTCCGTAATAACAGAACACCAGAAAGTAGAGAGAGATACCAGAGAACCAGGAACGAGTATGTTAGTGTGAGAAGAGCAGCTGAGAAAAGGTATGAAAATGATATAGCTAATAAAGCCAAGACCGAACCAAAGCTACTACACAGTCACATCAGGAGGAAGACAACAGTGAAGGAACAGGTGATGAAACTTAGGGTGGGCGAGGACAGGTACACAGAGAATGACAAAGAGGTGTGTGAAGAACTCAACAAAAGGTTCCAGGAGGTCTTTACAATAGAACAGGGAGAAGTCACGGTGCTAGGAGAGGTGGCAGCAAACCAGGTGACCATGGAAAGGTTCGAAATTACAAGAGATGAGGTCAAGAAGCACCTATTGGAGCTGGATGTGAGAAAAGCTGTTGGGCCGGATGGAATCTCACCATGGGTATTGAAAGAGTGTGCAGGAGCACTTAGCTTGCCACTCTCCATAGTGTATAGTAGGTCACTGGAAACGGGAGACCTACCAGAAGTATGGAAGACTGCTAATGTAGTACCAATATTTAAAAAGGGTGACAGACAAGAGGCACTGAACTACAGGCCAGTGTCCTTAACTTGTATACCATGCAAGGTGATGGAGAAGATTGTGAGAAAAAACTTAGTAACACATCTGGAGAGAAGAGACTTCGTGACAACCCATCAACATGGGTTCAGGGAGGGTAAATCTTGCCTTACAGGCTTGATAGAATTCTATGATCAGGTGACAAAGATTAAGCAAGAAAGAGAAGGATGGGCGGACTGCATTTTTTTGGACTGTCGGAAAGCCTTTGACACAGTACCCCATAAAAGGTTGATGCATAAGCTGGAGAAACAGGCAGGAGTAACTTTTAGGGCGCTCCACTGGATAAGGGAGTACCTAAGCAATAGGAAGCAAAGAGTTATAGTGAGGGGTGAGACCTCAGAATGGCGGGAAGTCACCAGTGGAGTCCCACAGGGCTCTGTGCTTGGACCTATCCTGTTTCTGATATACGTAAATGATCTCCCAGAGGGTATAGACTCATTCCTCTCAATGTTTGCTGACGACGCCAAAATTATGAGAAGGATTAAGACAGAGGAGGACAGCTTGAGGCTTCAAGAAGACCTGGACAAGCTGCAGGAATGGTCGAACAAATGGATGTTAGAGTTTAACCCAAGCAAATGTAATGTAATGAAGATAGGAGTAGGAAGCAGGAGACCAGATACAAGGTATCACTTGGGAGATGAAATACTTCAAGAGTCAGAGAGAGAGAAAGACCTGGGGGTTGATATCACGCCAGACCTGTCCCCTGAAGCTCATATCAAGAGGATAACATCAGCAGCATATGCCAGGTTGGCTAACATAAGAACGGCCTTTAGAAACTTGTGTAAGGAATCTTTCAGAACATTATATACCACATATGTCAGACCAATCCTGGAATATGCGGCTCCAGCATGGAGTCCATATCTAGTCAAGCATAAGACTAAACTGGAAAAGGTTCAAAGGTTTGCCACCAGACTAGTACCCGAGCTGAGAGGTATGAGTTACGAGGAGAGACTACGGGAATTAAACCTCACTTCGTTGGAAGACAGAAGAGTTAGGGGGGACATGATCACCACATTCAAGATTCTCAAGGGAATCGACAGGGTTGATAAAGATAGGCTATTTAACACAAGGGGCACACGCACTAGGGGACACAGGTGGAAACTGAGTGCCCAAATGAGCCACAAAGATATTAGAAAGAACTTTTTTAGTGTCAGAGTGGTTGACAAATGGAATGCATTAGGAAGCAATGTGGTGGAGGCTGACTCCATACACAGTTTCAAGTGTAGATATGATAGAGCCCAATAGGCTCAGGAACCTGTACACCTGTTGATTGACGGTTGAGAGGCGGGACCAAAGAGCCAGAGCTCAACCCCCGCAAGCACAACTAGGTGAGTACAACTAGGTGAGTACACACACACACACACACACACACACACACACACACACACACACACACACACACACACACACACACACACACTCTCTCTCTCTCTTTATCTATTTATCTCTTTCCCCAGCTAACACTCCACAGGTAACACCCTCTCCCCCAGACACCATACATGCCTTACACATGCCCAACACATGCTCTGCACATACACTACACATACAGTACACATGTACTACACATGCCCTACAAATGTGTGACCAAGACCTTCCTGCAGCAGGTGACGGCGCCTCTACTGCAGGAATGGCCATGTGCATGCGGCTGGATTACCTGCTGGATGGGCCGGACGCCTTCCTACTGTCGGCGAGGGTGGTGCAGGAGCAGGAGGAGAGTCTTCCCCCCTCTTCCTCGCTGCTGTTCCTCTATGGTCCTCATGGGAACAGGTCCTTGACCACTGCCGTCAACTTCACCGTCAGTTCTCGCTTCAAGGTGGGTACAGCCGGTGTACGGGTACGTTTTGTTCTATGGGTATAGGGCGATTGTTTCGCTACGCTTAGATTCAGTACGATGGGGAGAGGGCCTGCTCACACACGCTCTTCCCCCATCACCTCTTTCCCTGCTCATATGCGCCCTTCTTTCTCCATTGTAAACAAAAGATTGTTCCCAAATCTGTCATCTGGGGACATGTTTTGACAGTAAATATTTAGTAGTAGCATCCATCAGTCTTAGGAGACTATGGAGTTGCGCTCTGGTTGTCGGTCTGGAGTGGCCTCACCAGGGCGCAAAGCCAGGGTAGGTTGATTCCGGGGAGAAGCTGTTACCCAGGCAGCAGGTCCCCCCTCTCCACTAATAATAAAATTATTTATTATTTATATTAATGCTAAAGTCTATGGATTCGGTGCAGAATATTTAACAACCAGATACTACGTGAAGGAGATGCTTTAGGGTCGTGCCCTCCTTGAGGGAGGTACTGCCCCGGCCCCCAAACCTCCCTTTGGCCCTACCAATAACGTCACCATTAATCCTGTAAACCTTATAATGAGGCTAGCCCCTAGCATCGAGCCTCGGACCTCGAACAGATATTGTCTTTATAGATATTGATATAGATTTGATTTGATTATATTAGATTTTATATTATAGATATTCTTGTGTATTTGCATAACTGTACAGTAAGTTTTTAAATATTATTTACTAAACAGTATGCACCATGGAATCATTATTTTCAGTAATACTCTAATGTTCCTGAATAGAAATATAAACTATAACTTATTGTACGTCTCGTTTCTATGTGTTTAGCCGATGTAGACTTGACCTGAAAGCTACTTGATCCTATATTAACAACAAATAATTATTATTAGTAGTAGTATTTACATGCGAATTTTAATTAATTTACAAAATCTAAAAATGATTAAGAACCTAGGAAACGTCCCGTGAAGCCTCGATCAAGTCTTGTGGTGGGTCCTTGATCAGGTCGCCCATAAAGCCTTGACACTGAAGACTTGGCGTGGCTAGAGGAGGAGGAGAGCGTATAATTGGCTATTAAGTCATTCAATGAGTCTTTTTTTTTTTTTAAGAGGAAACTGGTGAGGTGTTTCCGCCCCGCGTGGACGGGTTCACCTGTTCTCAGTCCCTCCCTCTCGCTACCTGCAGGTCGGCGTTCAATCCCCGACCGTCCAAGTGGTTGGGCACCGTTTCTTCCCCCTGTCCCATCCCAAATCCTTATCCTGACCCCTTCCCAGTGCTATATAGTCGTAAAGGCTTGGCGCTTTCCCTCTGATAGTTCCCTTCCCTTCAGTCCCTCCCTCACGTTCCTCCTCACTGTCCCTTCCTTACTAATTCTCCCCTCTCTTTCCACTATCCCTAACCTCGTCCTCCCCCTTTCCTTCTATTTACCTCCCCAGGCCTCTCCCACACCTCCCTCAGCCTCCCCTTTTAATCCTTTTATTTTCTGGGGGGGAGGGAAGGAAGTGAATTAGATGGAGAGGTGTAGGTGAATGAAAATGTTTTGGTAATGTTAAGTATAGCGTGAGTTATAATAACAGGCGGGCTGTCCGCCTTGCTGACACCGTGTGTGTGTGTCTGTGTGATTGAGTTACGTATACATTTACCGACGTATAGCACTGCAGTATTTGTCATGATGCTGCAGCACTACGGTATGCAACATGCAGCACTACAGCATACATCACGATGTCTCAGCGTTGTGGTATACATAATGACGTCACAGCGCTGCTGGACTCGACATAATGTCGCAAAACTGCGGTATACATCATGATGTCGGCGAGTCGCAGTGTTTGTCCCTCACTGTGTGTGTGCAGCATTGCACAGCAGTAAGTAGACACGGTCCTCGAGAGCCCAGCACTTGTCGCTGCTGCTGTTTGTTATTGAACAACCATCTCTCTCTTTTTTTATCCAGCAACACCTTTGTCGTTGAGAGCCGAAATAACAAGTTATATACGAGTTTACCATGAAAGATGTGATGATGATGATGATCGCAGTTGACAAACATTGCAGGAAAATCAAACCCTGTTCAATATTTGTGCTCCACTAACCTGGGAAAAACATTTGTTGCATCTGTCCGCTCGGGGAGGAGGAGTCCCCGGCCAGCCAGTAGTCAGCTACGACTGTGTGTGTTTCTGATGGGGATTTAGATTCCATTTGGGCTCGGACTTTATGTTTATGGTATTTTGATATACTGTTTGAGATGAGGAGGATTTATTTCTGGTGTCTCTCTCTCCTCCCTCTTCTCTCTATTCCCCCCCTCTCTGTCTCTGTCTCTCTCTCTCTCTCTGTCTCTCTCTCTCTCTACTCTCTCTCTCTCGCCGTCAGTGAACAGTATATAAGGTGATTTTCCTCAAAGATGTGAGGAAACTACCTGTGATACATAGATGTGATACGAAGCAAGTGAGCCTGGGAAAATGACCACTTATAGAACCCTTTAATGCAACGGCGTTCACAGACTCGACACTGTTCGGTAATCTCTCAGGGAGTGGCAAGTGATGAAACAAAGGGAAGGAAGGAGAGGTGTGCCGCTGCTGGTCACAAATGACTGCATTTAAAGAAAAAGTATGATCTAGGGCTATGAAGGCGTCGCAGACTATGTAATGAGCACCGTGACTATGGCAGGACCAAAGATAATAGCAGTTGCAGTAGTGGTGATGTACAACCCACAGTTACGACTACAAGCACAGTTACCACTACCTCAAAGCAGTGATGGCAAACACAGTTACTACTACTTCAGAGTAGCCCCTCAGTCCTCCCTGGTGTTCCTCATTACGTCACCGTGGTAGGAGAGGCGTCTTGGAAGACAGCCTCCATATCTTAGCTCGTTAGTCTCACAGTAATGAGCGCTCTCGTGACCTCGGCCCGCCCCGCGTTCCTTGCATGATGCCGCCCTCATTAACAACCTCTGTTGATGCTTTGACACTTGTGGCTAATGGTAAAATTAACGCAGTTACCCCTGACCTTCTGACTCACGCCCACACCACCCACTCTCACGCCCACACCACCCATTCTCACGCCCATAAAACCCATTCTCACGCCACCCACTTTCACGTCCACACAACCATTTGCCAACACTATTATAAATATTATTATTTTTCGCACAATGAAATCACATTAGCTTGATATGTCAAGGAGAAATTTAGTAGGAGCCGTAAGGTGGATTCGAACCTATGCTGTGGGTACTCCCAAGCAAGGCCTTAGACCCCTACATCACTCTTCCTTACATCACCTTGTAATTTACTCAGTAGTAGGGAGGGGAGAGCTTCTGCCATTTAATAAGTTCTCCGTAATCTTCGGAGAGTTAGGTAGCGGTAGTTGTGCCTATCAATAGGCTCTTTGTACCGACGTAGCGCAACAGCTTCCGCTCGTGTTTAAACACGCGGGTTTCGGAGGGCGCGGCGACGGTCTGCGGGCTGTGCCTCTTCCTACCGGCCACGCGTACCTAATCCCCCGACCAAGTGATTGGGCACCATTCCTTCCCATCGCAAATCCTTATCCTGATCCCTTCCAAGTGCTATATAGTCGTAATGGCTTGGCGCTTTCTTCTGATAGTCCCCTTCCCCTTCACTTTCTTCGTCAGTCACGTTAACTTAAACATGTGTGCTACATGTGGTCCTAGGTTCGATCCCAGGCTCCGGCGAGAAACAATGGGCAGAGTTTCTTTCACCCTGTGCCCCTGTTACCTAGCAGTAAAATAGGTACCTGGGTGTTAGTCAGCTGTCACGGGCTGCTTCCTGGGGGTGGAGGCCTGGTCGAGGACCGGGACGCGGGGACACTAAAAAAAAAAGCCCCGAAATCATCTCAAGATAACCTCAAGAAGATATATTGTCTCCCCGTGCTTGCTGCCAAAAATAATAATTACTAAAATTAATTTTGTGCTTGATAATTACTCAAATAAGTTTTGTTATTGTTTGGTAAGTTGAGAGTCTTAGTCTAGGAACACCCTTCTTGAGGACCTCTTGAGTGCTTATATTTATAACCAGTTTAGCTTAAAGTTCAAGTACATTCATTAAGAAAATAAAATACACAGGACAGAGTTGGAAAAAATTGCATTTTGTTCAAGCTTCTCTTGATAGAAGTAAGTGAATATACTACCAATGTGTATATATATATATATATATATATATATATATATATATATATATATATATATATATATATATATATATATATATATATGTATTTATAGTAATACCTGTAAACATAATGTATTTATATGTAAACACATATCTCTCAGGCCTATAGATGGCATTCACTTACGGGTTAATATTATGTAATATTATTGTAAATATTGTGTAATATTAACAGTAATATTATTCAATACTATTAGTAATATTGCTATCGCCGTCTAGTCTTCAGTGGCGGCCTCACCAAGTCTCCAGCAAGATGGCCGTTTACATATTATATATGTGTGTGTGTGTGTTATTATGTGTCATATTCCTATCGAGGGTTTGTGTTGGTACGTCAGGTGGTGGTGCAGTACGAGCGAGGGTACGGCCCTCACTACACGGCGGGCGTGACGGGCGTGCACGTCACCCAGGGCGCGTGTGGCCACCAGCTAGACAACCTCACGGCCACCTCCTGCGCCTTCACGCGCGACTTCTGCGGCTGGACCAACACTCACAGTGACCACAGGAACTGGCTGCTCACGGATCAAGGTGGGTAGATGGAGTGGGGGGGCAGGTTGGTGGATGTGGCAGCTCTAGCGTCCTCTAACTCACCCTGCTCTAGGGTGTGTAGGTAGGGCTACTACACGTGGTGGCTGAGCTGACGAATGATGAGGTGAAGTGGGTTGGCTGGGTTAGTGGGCTGGGTTGATGGGTGGAGAGCTATGTTGATGGGGGCGTGTGAGCTGGGCTGTTGAGTGCAAAAGCTAGGTGATGGTCTGTGAACTGGGGTGGTGGTTGTTGGGTTGTGGTGCCCAACAACATCATGCCCTATATGATGCGTTTCACCAGTTGTGGGTGGTGAATTGTGGTGAACTTGTCTTTTGGGTGGTGAGGTGGGCTGATTGGTGTGGATAGGATTGGTGGTTCATGAGTTAAGGTGGTTTGAGCTGATGATTGGTTGACTGAGTAGGTGGGCTTGGCTGTGGGCTTGCCTAACAGTAACCACGGTGGGAGTGAGGTATAACTCCTTATGCTCTCCCTTTTAGTCTTTCTGTATATGATGCGTTTCATTTATATTTTGTTGACTATCTTCTATGTACGATACCATGTACGAGTATTTCCTTCCATTTTGTAAACTTATTTTCGTATCCTGCTTCCACCTGTGTTGTGTTGTGTTATTGTCTTGAAATGTTAACAAAATGTCCTCGCCCACCTTGTCTATATTTCACTGTATTTTGTAGCGAGTGATCATGACTCTTCTGCTTCTTCTTTCCTCTAAGGGGTGTGAGACTGGGATCTCGTAACTAGTGGTGATAGTTCTCGCACTAGTTGCACACCTGTATGTGTGCGGGGCTAATGTGTGCGTGGTTAGTATGTGTGTTTCTAGTGTGTGCGCCACGCACACACTAGCCACGCCCACATGTGTGTGTGCGTGAAGGAGCTTGAGGCAGGGAATGCTTCAGACGTCGTAAAGGTGGAGTTGTATCCTGCTATGAGGATGAGAAGAATGAAGGTAATGAGGAGATAAAGATTGTCTTACATGAGATGTATATTGTCTTACATGAGGAGATAAACATTGTGTTACATAAGGGTATACAAATTCTATTATACGGTCCGGAGTACCCAGAAGAGGAGTAGAGGAGAAGTTGGGTAGACAGAGGCAGAGAAGTAATAAGGGCACCATGCTTTCCTCAATGTTAATCTTGGTCTGAGCGTTCATCCCAGCTACATAAGTTGCTGGGCATAATCAAGGAACTTAATAAGAGATAAAATGCCTGATATGTAATTATAAGTTGGTCGGCACCGAGTCTGTTCCACAGCGGTTGATGAAGCTAGTAGTGATGGTGGTGGTGGTGGTGGTGGCAGTGGTGGTTGTGGTGATGGTGGTGGTGGTGGTGGCAGTGGTGGTTGTGGTGATGGTGGTGGTGGTGGTGGCAGTGGTGGTTGTGGTGATGGTGGTGGTAGTGATGGCAGTGGTGGTGATGGTGATGGCGGGGGGGGGGGAAGAAGGTGTAACTTTAACTTATTGAAGGGTAAATATGAGTGAAATAATTACGTGGAATAGTTTATAGAATAATAACTGCATGATACTAAGTAAATATTTCTTAGTCTCTTTTAAACTGGTTGGGAGACGTACAGCTTTTGATTACATTTGAGAGGTCATTCCACAATTTGGGATCCTTGATTTGCATTGCATTTCTGCTTTGGTTGAGTCTCACACTAGGAATATCAAACATATATTTGTTTCTCGTGTGGTGACCGTGAGTTCAATTACAGCCTTCTAGGAAGCGTTTAAGGTCAGGATTGCCATTGCAATTTAGAGTTTTATAGATATAGAGAACACTTGAGAGTATGCTCAGAGATTTGATATTTAACATATTCAAGGATTTCAGTAAGGTAGCAAAGTGGTGTCTGGGACGGAAATTTGTTGTTCTAACTGCTGATTTGTGTTGAGTGATTAGGGGTTTGGAGTAGTTAAAGTTATGGAGCCCCAGGCACAGATTCCATAGGTGAGATACGGATAAATAAGTAACTAAGGTAGGGCGAGGAACACAGTATCTACCTTTGGAGAGAATACCTACCGTTTTATATCTCTTATTTCCTCTCCCTCTTTTCTATCTATTCCATTTTGTAGACACTTGTCACTTAGAACATTTCACCAGTACTGGTAGGTAAGTACAATCACTGCACAACACTATAATCCAGCGGTGGCATTTCTTTTTCTCAACGATATGAGAGCCATTGGTCCGCTCTCACTTGTCCACACGTCATGGCTCAGCGGCTGGGTTCTCTGTCCCAGCACACTCGCTACCCACAAGAGCTTTAACTAAAAACTGTCTACAACTCTGAATACACTACATTTTTCATATGTTTCTGTTGGTTATCACTTCACTGCTAATTCACTGAAACTTTTGACTGTGTTCTTCCTCTGCGGTCGTTGAACCCCGCTTTAACCCGACGAAAAATCCCGATCGCCTGGTGGCGCTCGACAATAGTAGTGGTGGCGCTTGTTACAGAGCAACACCCTCTAGATTAAATATATATCTTTCTCGATTAAAAAGTATCTTGCATTTTTATGAAATATATTTAACTTTGAAAGCCAATATTTCCCTACAAATAGGCAATGTTTGTCATTCTTTTTACCACAAGAAACATACAATTTTATCCACCTGTCAATTAAGTGTTGGTTGGGTGGTTGACAGGTATCGTGGCTGAGGTTCGGAGCGGCAGCGGCAGCAGTAAACTCAGCCGCAACCGGAGCAAGAAGGCCATGGTCACCTCCGTCAGCAGTAACATCGCCCACGAGCAGCAGTGGGCTGATCTCACCTCCCCGGTGGTGATACAGAGCGACCTCATGTCTACGATGCGTAGTGACTTTAGCTCCACGGAATATGACCTTAGCGAAGGTGAACGAAGCTCCCTTCCTGCTGTGCCGGCAGCGACCAACAGCAGCGGGGCTTGCCTCACTCTCCGGTACAGTCTCCTGTCGGCAAACTCAGAGTTGCGAGTGGTGCTGAGACCCATAGCAGCCACGGGGATGAAGGGCTACCGACGGAGAGGCTCCCAGGGTCACCAGGAGGAAGAGGAGGAGCAGGTCCTGTGGACTCAGGGGCGCGTCGAGAGCCCCGGAGTGATGGAGGCCATCGTCAACTTCCTTCCCGATTCTCTTCCCTCGCGTTACCAGGTAAAGCTCCCACCCGTGTTGAGCAGACCACACACTAGAAGGTGAGGGGAAGACGACGTTTCGGTCCGTCCTGGACCATTCTCGACTTGAGAATGGTCCAGGACGGACCGAAACGTCGTCGTCCCATCACCTTCTAGTGTGTGGTCTGGTCAACATACTTTAGCCACGTTATTGCGACTCATCGCCTGCATATGACTCCCACCCCTAACTTGGTAAGTATCTATGTACTAAGGACCTCTTCCATAAGTCTTAAGCCTTATTGCAGCATCTCATCTTTTAATGAACGTTCAAACGTCATTTGTAAGGGAAAAACTTAACAAAGTAGCCCGTCCTCCCGAGCGTTCCCAACGTCACTATATTGATGTACTAAATTGCCCGAACCTATCCTAACCGGGGACCTACGAATAGAAAACGGGACATCACGTCAATTTTGTGAGCCTCTGTAATTTTTTGCACATTAGTTGTTTTTTTCCTTAAGGGATTTATATGTCAAAAAGCGATGTACTATTCGAGAAGCCGGGTTACTAAAAAAGCCTTTTTTGTTAGCAAACTGTAACTTAATCCTATAACTTTGTAATTTTCTTTCTCAACTGTGACCACATTTATCCCTCCGTCTCAGAAGTTAGGATATACATGATCTGTCCATTGTGTATCCTGCAGCTAATCCTCCGAGCAGTTGGTGTGGGCACTGGTGGAGCCAGCGGGAAGGTACAGGTGCGACAGGTGAGTCTACAGCCAGGCACCTGCACTTCGGGTCCCTCTTGCGACTTCGACACCGGCTTCTGCTCGTGGAGGGTGTCCTACACGGGCGGCACCGTCTGGTACATCCGCCCACACCACGGTACGCCCACGTTATGACGCTCACTAGTATACGCCCTCATCAATCCCACTAAATTAGGACTTAAATTAGGAAGCAGGTAGGCCCAGGATCCGCCTCCCGGGGTTCCTGGGCCTCTACTGATGTAGAGGCCCAGACTTTGCGCCCTGGTGAGACCACTCCAGACCAGGCCGACACCAGAGTGCAACTCCATAGTCTCCTGAGACTGATGGATGCCTACTACTGATGTATACAATATGGCCATATACATACAAGTATCAAAGTATAATTAATATACCTAAATTCACAAACTTAAATACAATAATATAACGCATAGGTAACATTGAACATTGAACATAGGTAACATTTGATATGGTAATATCAACAAATGGGGAAAGCGAAAAGTATCAGGTCGTTAAACGAATAATGACCCGATACTTTTTTTTCATACCACAAATACGTCTCACTGAAGTTATATTATCACTTTTAAGGACAAGCAAGATCTCTCCGAGCCTCCAGCTCGAGACGGAATGATAATCAATATGGGCATAACAAGGTGAAGATAATTGCAAGCGTTATCAAATCATTTCACTTGTTCCAGGTCTACGTTTCCTGCACTTGGCTATTAATCTATGTGTGTTCACTGCCAAGTTGACTTTTAAGTTCTATGTATTGTTAGATGTAGATTAGGTTATGTGTTTAGGTTCTGTTGGTGATTATTTGTAGTTATAGTACGTGGGTGAAATATTTATCGAGAAGCGATACGAACAGAGGTCATTAACGAAGCACTGTTCGAGAAAGGTTCGAACATCATCAGTGGTGAGTCGTGTGTAACAAAAGCGCATTCATAAATTTTAATATGCTGCTCATTGAAAATAGGAATTTTCTCAAATATAAATTAATATTGCTATATATTAGCATATTGTGCATATTTAGGCACTGGTTAGGCTCGGTATTTAGGTTCTGTTGGCGATTATTTGTATTGGTAGTACGTAGTGAAGCATTTACAGCGTTGTGGATCGAACAAAGTCATCATCTAGGCACTTATTCGAGAAGTGTTCGAACATCATCAGTTGCCAGTCGTGTGTAAACAGTTTTTCGTTCATAAACAGTGGGGGTTTGGCGGGTGGATTAACGAACATTTGGCCTTTGTTGATGAGGACGGGCAGCAGCCACACGGTTTCATTCCGTCTTAGTAATGGTTTGGTTGAGCTGAAGATAGAAGGGGTGGACCTGCTCCAGAAATAGCTGGAATCTTTTTTGTTTTATTTTTCAGGGGCAAATGTTCCTGTGTGGGCTGACCTTGTGGGTTCATCTCTTGGGCCCACCTTAGAGCTTACTTTGAGGGCTCACATTAGAGGCTCCCTTATGAGGGCTCACCTCGGGAGCTCACCTCGGGGACGACA